TCTCAGCTGAACTACATTCATCCACATACTCAGTGACTCCTGAGAACTGAAGTCATGTAAGCACGACTCTCTGTGAAACCACCCCATGAATTATGTAGAGTACTGAGAGATGGGAGGTGTCTCAAAGTCATAAAGATGATTTAGGAATGAGATCGTCAAAGATATTTTGGTGTCTATTTCCTATTGATTCCATTTTGCATTCAAGTCTGAATTGATTTTGGGTTTCTAACTTTGTGCTTATGAATGCCAAAAGGAAAAATTCTCTGATGTTCTCTTCGCTATACCTGAAATTAATCATCTATGTCCTTGAAATTTAATTAAACCAGATAGTCTTTCAAATCGTTTTACACCATATGTTGGAAAAAGAGTAGTAAAATTAAAAGAATAAATCACATCAGAGAGCAAATTAAATACACTGTTTGAAGCTGGCCTCTCTCTCATTTTCCTCATTGTTAAAACTGAGTCAATGCTGACAATAAGCATTTAAAAGTGGAGAGGACAAAGCACTTCAGAATGCATTGTTCAAAGAGCTGTGCATTGGAAGGCATTGAATGGGCTAGATTTTCTAAAGTGTTTTCCCCATTCCCGATTGCTTTGGTGTGAAGATGGTAGGATGAAACACATTTTAGGCCTGATGGAGTAGAAATAAAAGCTTTGCAAAGATGAAAGATGAAGAAAGAAAACCATGTCAGAAGTATTATGCCCCCTTTTACGTGCTGCCTACTGTAAAGCTGAGTCAAGACAATCTAATGCCATTACTTTGTAAAGCACAGAAAATTACTAAATTCATCAAGGGAAATGGAAAACTGAGAAAGGTATGCAGTTCTTGTTTGATGAAAATTGCTTAAAATCAATACCTAAGCCTGTTCATCATGACGTCATAAGATAATACACATAAACCTAGGTTGTTGAAAAAGCACCTATAGAAAGCATTTGCTCAAATCTCAGGAACTACAATTAGTTTTCAAAGGATAATTCTTCAAAATAATACTCAGGGTGTGAATATCTGAGAGAAAGCTATCAGACAAACACTTTCATCTTGCTACTTATTTCTTTTCTGTTTCTCATCCTATCTTGAGCCTTTTCCCTATGCCTTGATCGAGGACAGATGGAGTTATGACTACATATTATGTAATACTAACTCCACATCTCTTTAGAAAGACAAAGTTAATGTGAATTCTGCCACTCCAGTTGTTGACAGTTGCTTTCAGCTCCTCTTTGGTTTTAGTTTTAAACACTGTAAAGCATAAATAGTTTGAGATTTATGCAAGTGACATCCTATCCATTTTAAAATTAATGAGATTTCAGTGTAGTCTGATTAAAATAACGATAGAGATGTTTGAAAAGTCATTCGGGCTATTTTACCAGCAATTAAACCAGTGAACGGCACAGGTTGAAGGGTGTCATTGGATGAGTCTCCGTGGTAGATATGTGATATATAAACTCAATATGACCCCGAGAATAAAGATTCACTCTGCAACCTCACCAGAAGGTACCCTAGGTAGGTTGGCCAGTAGCTCACCAACCCTCTAGGTTAAAGGAAGACATATCCACTACTTATGGGAAGGCATTTGAGGTCAGTTTTTCATCTCACATTTTGAAACGTGATTTTAAAAAAGGTTTTCTTTGTCAAAGGATATAAACTTGGTTTTCTTTTTTGTGACTATTCCCCCAAACCCTTTATACGTAACTTGATGTTGGAAGATAATCTGTAATGTCAAATTGTAGTTTTGTTATAAGATTTTGATGTTTTAGAGTCAGATTTTTTTAACTACATCCATATTGCTAAAGTAAATGACACGGGGGAATTTTATTGTTCCTGAGGCCAATCATCACAGCTCATGCCCACAGTGTGTAGTATCAGTCCCCAGTGAAGTAGGTTCATCTGGGAGAAAGCTTGTGGGCATGGTCCACACCTGAGTGACCTAACCCACAAGCAGCACAGACAATGAAGTTCCAGCACTTGGGTTGACTCCCAGCTCCTCCTCAGCAGACAGGAGGAAGTCTTTTCTGTCTCTGCTGTTTCATTCTGGGTAGAAGTGGTTTAAGGGCACAGTGGGTCTAAAGGACACAAGTCCATCTCTGCAGTCTCATGAGATAAGTATCCTCAGGCTCTAGTCTTGGTCTCTGCAGGGTTTCATTGTTAACTTTCAACACTACTGGCCAGTTTAATTGGAAAGGGCAGAGATCTCACCACCCTGAGGTCTTTCAGGTGTTATCTGGTCAGGTGGGAGTGCTTTTGTGGGGTCAGGTCTTGCTGTGAGACCTGGCAGCACTCAGAGTTCAGGCAGGTGCCAGACTGCAAAGCCCCTTCAGTTTCTGGGGAATTTTACTGCCATAGTGCTTCTAGAACTGCAGCACCTCCAGGGCTGGAGGTGGGGCTGGAAGGACTCTGGCTTTCCTTGCATCCAGTGGCCCTTAGGTGATCACAACAGCTACAGCTTTGGTGCCTCTAGTACCGTGTTTATGTAAGAGTGTAATATCTAACGTAGAAACAAGTGGCAGGTTAGAAACACACTGCCATTCTTTTAATTATTTAGCCTTTGAAAAAGGTTTTTCTGATAAAGGTTCAAAAAAAGCCTACACATACACACACCTTTTTGCAGCAAGCAAACAGCTCCATGTTAGTAAAACAGGTAACAAAGCAGTCCAGAGATTTACCAGGGAGAATGAGATTCAAGTCTGCTCAAGCAGAGAAGGAAACTGAGCATGTACTCCTCATACCCCAGGTGAATGCTGTACCTCTTGTATCCAGGGTAAATCACATCTACTGCAGTCCTAAATAAAAAGGTAGCATAGAGACTGGGCACACTTTCCTCTTGGTTTTGTGAGAAATAAGTGGCACAGACAACTGTCTGCATGGGAAAACCAGGCCTCTAAAACCTATTGGGAAATGAGTGGATCCTTACAGGTAAAGGTTGGGTGCTGAATACTTGAAAGAATGTGATTTAAACATCCCTGTCCTAATCTCAGATTGCTTCCCACTCAGCTGGCAACAGTGTAAACTCCAAAGGAGGGCTGTGACATTGCAGATGAATTGCTCAGCCCCATGTGGCAAAGCTGTGACCCAGCAGGGCACAGTCGAAGTCAGGACTCTCCAAGCCAGCATTGAGCTCAGTACATTTTTTTTCTTCCTACAGATCTCTCAGGAGTAACAGAAATTAAATTTTTTAAAAATGAATGAAGTACATATGGCAACACAGCTGCTGAAAATCTGTTACCCTTTTTAATCACCTCTCATGTCCTGGGCATGCATTTTATCCTTCAAACTCAGTGAAAGGGAAAGCGATGAGAGGAATACATCTCCCTGTATTACTGGGTTACTTTGTACTATTATTAAGTCATGCAAGGGAAACCTTGCCTATAAGGCTATCCAGAACTTAGGTCTCAGTGGGTTAATCTTTAAAATACTTTACATAGTTATAATCACTAGGACAAGCAGAGTTTTCACAGAGAGTCTGCAAACTGCAAATAAATAAAATTGAAAAAGGAGAGGACCATGCTTCTTTTTCTTAATGATGGTGAGCTTTTGAAATGAAAAGGTCATAAACCCTGGATAAGTGATTAAAGAGCCTGGAAATGCTACAATTTTCTACCTGCATTATGGGTACATGGTAGAATAGTCCTTAGGATGAAGTGACAGGAGCTCCAAAGCATTGTTTACTGTTTATCCTCCTTCCATAAGCACCCAATGTCATAAGCAGTCAGAATGACTATTTCTCATTCTGTAGCCTTGGATCACACTACTGGCTATTCATGTTTGCATGTCAGCTCCAAGGTAAGGAGAGCAAGTCGAGTGATGTATTCAATTCCAATGTTGGAGCTGGGGAGAGAGAAAAATGGAACTATTGACAGAGATGCTTCTGTGAAGGAGCAGTGATTTACATTCTGAATAAGTGCAAATTATCCTTCCTCCCCACCCCCAAGTTCAGCCAATATACTCATTCAACACCTTGCTGCTGTGATGCTTTTTTTTTCTTGCAGTCTTTGATTCTCTGTTGAGTTCAGAAGGCTGTGGTTTAGTAAGAGATATGAGGGAGTACACCCTGGTGAAGGAGTGGGTTCCTTGTGAGCCCAAGCAATGGTCATTTTCAGTCAACAGTGAAGTATCTGTCGGTCAAAGA